CACACTCATGGAATCCCTCCTGTAACCACTCCCTGGCTGGACCCAGGAAACATACCTGTGCAGCTCTGGGAGCCAGGCTAGGACATGAGCCGTGGGAGTCCTGGCTCCACTCCCAGGCCCAGTATGGGCTGGATGTGTGACACGGAGAGGACCCCCTCCCTTCCCTGGGCCTTGGTTTCCCTATCTGTACAATGAGGCCTCAATCTGTTGGTGTCTGGGGAGCCCCCCAGCTCTAACCTCTTCCAGAACTTGGAAGCCTCATGTTATACGAGTTCCCTACCCATTCCATGCCCTATCCAGCTGAGGCTGTAGAGGGGGACAGGGGTGGGGCAGAAAGAACTACTAGCTCTAGGCCAGGCCTCTCCAGGGCTTTGCAAATAAAGGTTTGGTGCTCAGCCTAGTGGTCCTGGCTTTGGGAAGAGCCCTTACTCCCTTGTCCAGCCTGTTCTCCCACTCCCACTCAGGGCCTCTATGGGAGAGGCACCCGCAGGTAGCACCCTGGTCTGGCTGGTCTGTCTCCTTCCTCAGGTGGGGTTTTGCAGCCCTGGAAGGGGTGGGAGTAGCCATCTCAGGCCAGGCTGGGGTGCGAAAACTCTCAGGAGGAGGAGGAGGCTATGACCACTCAGAGTCCAAATCTGACCGTGGCTCCTTACCACCTCTATGCTGACTCTGGAGTGGGAACAGCCATGAGCCCAGACCTCCTGTGCACCACTGAGACCAGCCTACAGCACCTAAGAGCACAGAAAAAGGCCAGTACACCTGGATCAAAATACTAGCTCTGCTTCTCACTAGCTGTATGATCTTAGGTAAGACAGGACAATTACAGTTCCCACCCCATAGGGCTGCTGGGATGACAAAATGAGCTATGCCTGGCATGCAGGGAGTGTGTTTGTTGTCACTCTATACCTTCTCATGGATCTCATGCCATCATGCCCACCTTATATCCAAGGAAACTGAGGCCTGGGGAGATTGGCTCAGTAAGAGGTAGAGAGTAGGGGTTTTGGTCCTTATTGATATGATCTTGGCTAGTTGTTTTTTAAAAAATCCTCACCTGAGGACATTTTCATTAATTTTTATAGAGAGAGGGAGAGAAAAATCAATGTGAGAAACACTGATCATGCACCCTGACCAGGGCTGGGGATTGAACCCACAACCTTTCAGTGTGTATGGGATGACACTCCTACCAACTGAGCCACACTGGCCATGGCAACCTTGGCTAGTTTTTGTTTTTTAAATATATTGGAATGTAGTCTGTAAACATGCGTATTACACAGGTACAGTAAAATAACAAAACACTGAAAACAACAAGAACCACACAAATGCGTAAACACCCCCAAACACTCAAGTGCCCCTCATCAAACTTTGGCAGGTTATTGAACCTCTTGGGCTTCGGTTTCCTCATCTGTAAAGTAGGGATAATGAGGCTCAGAGGAGTAAGGTGCTTCAGGTTTCAGTTTTGTAATCCATGGTGATGGAGCAAGGTTGAAGGCCGAGTTTTTATTTTATTTTTATTTTTTATTGATTTCAGAGAGGAAGGGAGAGGGAGAGAGAAACATCAATGATGACAGAGAATCATTGATTGGCTGCCTCCTGCATGTCCCCTACTGGGGATCGAGCCACAACTCAGGACCCTTCAGTCCCCAGGCTGATGCTCTATCCACTCAGCCAAACTGACTAGGGCAAGGCCAAGTAGAGTTTTCCAGACTTCATG